ATTGTTCATTTCTTCTTGCTTGTCTGGATTCTTATTTAAAGAAACATCAACCATCCCATAACTCACGACAATACCTATATTTTCGGATCTTTATACATTTAGAAATTTGCATTACTTTGGCTAGCTTTAATTATGTTTGCATACATTCTTAAAAATGTTTAGGAAATGAAAATTCGGGTGATTTTTAAATGTCAGTTAATAGAGCCACTATTTTTTAATGTCCAATTTTCAAGTAACAACTGATAGTTTTAAGCTGTATGATAAAAAAAGTAAATTAAACTTGCATTTAAATTATATGCGTTGTTTTTCTTGATGTTTCCTAATGCGATGAAAAAGTTAATTGTAAATTCTTTTTGCCTGAAATGACAAACTGTACTAAACGTACAGCATATTTAATTGCTCATATTTTACCAAAAATGACTGATATGAAAGTTTATTCCCGCCTCCTTTCCTTGATTTTGATGTGATTTATGATAAAGTAAATCATGCTAATTCATATTTTAAAAGCACTTCTAGTTTTCTGAATAATTTTCTTTGTATAGTCCCTTTGTATTTACTTTTAAAATGCAATTTTAAAACAATCCAGTATGTAATTATCCACCTATTATTTTCTACTAATACAATCATTATTGCTATTCAATTCATGATAATAAATACAAACAACTCTATTTTCTTCGTTACGTAAAAATATTTCCCGTAGTGGAATTTGTATTTTATTTTTGCTCTTTTCCAGTGTAATTAATGTAAAGTGCCATTCAGAAGCATATTTTATTTTTCCTTATGTCTTATACTTTAAATCGTTAATTAAAAATTCATATATATGTCATCTGAGTTTTCTTTGGAAGATAGGTGAGAGGAAAAACTATGATGTTTAAAAAAGAAAATAAAGAATAAAACAATAATATTTTTGCTTTTTGCAGAAATCAGCGCTGTGGGATTATCAGTCATTGAATATATTCAAAATACAGTATTCATAACAAAATTTGCTTATACTTTGTGCTATTTTTTTAAATAAAGTTTTTTATTTTAACAAGACCCGAAATATGATTTATTTCCTAAATCATTACTCTGGCCGTTGTATTAATAAATAGCATGCACATTTTTAATATAAAAATACTTCTCAGCGTATATTATGGAAAATTTATTTAAGTTGGTTATTTATACAAATTGTAGGCAAATGCGGCATGTGTCAATCAGAGTTAAACATTTAGCAAAATCTATTCATTATGCTAAACAAGTTTAAACATGTTGCAACCTTAAAGAAGTAGAAATTGCCACTTTAGAGTACACCATTAATGCTCAGTCTAATAATTTAACAACATTCTGAGCCCTTCCAAAAGGGGTCATCTTAAGAGGATGACGATCTTCATAAGAAAAGTACAAAACATTTAAAAAATAAAAGGAGGTGAACTTTTTTATATCTTCGGCCCAGTATCGTTCATACTGGGCCGATTGATGAAATTTAACTACGTTAGAACAATGTTGTTTATAAATCTAATGTATATCCTAAGTTGCGCTTTCGAGACATGAATAAAAGCAAATTAAATTTTGTCAATCACCCAGTAGAACTGCCCATTTTTCCTGTGCAGAGTGTAAATGCTTTGTAAACATTATTATTATTATTGTTATTATTATATTATTATTATTATTATTATTATTATTATTATTATTATTATTATTATTATTATTATTATATTATTATTATTATTATTATTATTATTATTTATTATTTATTAGTCCAAAGGGATTTGAATCCCGAAGGACTATTAGTTTCGTTTTGGCATTTTGCGTCGGACTCATAAATGTCGGTTCACTTTTCAAACTGTTGCCACAAATGTTAGAGTCCTGCATTATATTTGAAGAAATTAAATAATGAAAAATCTGCATAAATGTATGTATATTTCTCGTATTGTGTGATAAAACAACGGTACATAGAGTCATCGAATTTTGAATAACGTAATCCTCCAACGAATATGAGCATGTGGAAGACCAAATTTGAAATTTGAAATTTGTTTTCTGATCGATTTCCTATTTTTTAAAACTTTTGACGAATTTTTGATTAACAAACTCAAGGATTTCAAAGCGAGCAATGGCAACGTTGTGCAGAAAAAAACATTTTTATCTCCAGCGCGTGAGTCTCTGTATTGGAAATTCTAAAGATATGCTCGTTTTAAAACTTTTTTGCGATATTCTTGTTGCACTGGATCTTATGGTTTAAGTGCGAGGAACATGATATTTAATAAAGAAAGGTAACACCACAAAGCGTTAAAAAACGCCCCTTTAGACGTAATTTAAAATCTGAAACATTTCAGATTTTTTTTTTTTTTTAATTATTATTATTATTATTATTTAGATTTAAGAATGAGAAATGGAACAAGAAGGAACAAGAAAGTAATGGTTGTTGAAGTAAATCTAGTGAACAACCTCTCTCATAAATTGTTCCAATCTATTTTGAAACATGTTAAGCTGTCTGTCGCACCCCTTAAGTGACGTTATTTTCTCGGCCCAGCAGTAGATGAAACACAGTACTGTTAGGAATGATATTCTGGAAACCAGTTATCGGATAGAATGCACGTTTTTTTATTTACAACATTTCATGTTACACCTGTGCAAACTATCGTTCATATAGAGTTTCAGTTCGTGGCTATCTAGAGATATTCGATTACGAAGTAAGATATATTTTTTTCTGTAAAAGCTATAGGTGTCTTCCTTATTTTTCAGTAAATTAAAATCTGACATTTTTTTACAGTGTTTAAATTAAGAAAATGCTACGCGGTTTGTCAAATTCGTGAATGTATCGTTTTTTACATAATTTGACGGTTTAACGCCGAAGCCGTGAAAATTAACAAATCACCATTTGATAAGTAGTTAGTTTGATTAGTAACAAATCACTATTTTATTTCAATAGTTACAAACGTTGGGCCGCCCAGACAGTAGTCTGGTTAGGGGAGTCTACTGCGGCACCTAAGGGTCCGGATCCGAATCCTGGAGAAAGAATGGATGTTTGCAAATGTATAGCGTCTTTGCGGCATAGGTCACTCTAAATATACGTTGAGCCGAAAATCCTCTCGAGAGGTTTATGGTAGCGGAATATGGGTGGGAGAACCTGTGACCCGTCCCCCTGGTGTGTTCTCCATCAAAATTGGGTAAGAAACTCAGCGAAGTCGTACTGTCACCTGCAGGGTCCTCAAGGCTCTTGCCAACGACAGGCACAATCTTGCTCTCCTTGTGAAGATGAGATTCGTGGGTTGTTTTTGATGTTATTGTCAGACAAGTGAATTAAGTCACAACACCAACACAACAAACTTTGCTTATAGCTTCCCTTACATCGTCGGAGCTTCTGAATGCAACTTACAAATATCACAGAAAAGTATTTCAAAGTTTTATTTCTATTATTGTTAAGTTAACAGGGATGTGAAAAATCGGTTCTTTTGAATTTTTGCAGTTTATTCCAAATTTCCGGAACAAAGTTTCAAATATTTTAATACCAGTGCAAACTTTCCTCTCTATTATTGTAAGTGTTGATACTTAGGAGAAGCGTTTTCTAAATAAAAGTCATCTCAGAAATATTTAAGAACTAGAAATGTACATTTTGCATTTAAAAAATCATTATGTGCTGTATACGTAACAGCAGCTGGAGCGATCCATTTGACTTCTACCAATGTCATCGATGTTAGAGCAACAAAAATAGCGAAATGTAATTTTTAAAAGTTTGAATTCAAATTTTTCTTCAAATTTGAAGATAGAGCTTTAATATATTTCCTTATAATGTCATTTCTTTTTAAAGTTCTTTTACTAATTTTACATAGGTTCGTTCTCTTTCAGTGAGAGATGCCCTCTGGGTATTAACATTAGTGGTACAGCATTGGTCAAATAATTTCGAGATATGTTCCGAACTGTTCTTAAATGAACTATTGTGTCAAAGATATTATGAACTGTTCAAAAGCAAATTTTTGCATTTTTCTAATTTAAATTGTCTAAAGGTACTTATTTTATATGTTTCTTGTTATATTTATATCAAGTTAATAAAATTCCAATGTTATTTAGAAGACTGTTTTTGGTGATTGTTTAATGTTATTAAAATAAACGTGATCACATTAAGCGTCGCTTACTGAGAAACAGAAGAGTTTAATTATTATAACTAGTGTAGTTATTAGTAGTATATAAACTGCTAATATAATGCATATACAACGCAAACGTTAACTAACAATATATAATTTAATATTAAATGTTGAAATTATATTAGTATAGTAGGTATTAAAGTAATAACATTAATCCAGGTATAATTCTGTTATTAATTAGAATAATTAGAATTAATTCTTAAATATTTTGTTATTGCATGTTAATATACAATAATATTCGAGTAATATTTTTTCAGAAATTATGAAGAACTTTCGGCATTTACCCTTGTATGTCCTTTTATATCTTTCTGGTTAATTTCTTTAAATGTTTTAATTCCCTGCCTTTGGAGATATATTTTTCTTCTCGTTAAATGTTACTCAACGAAGTGGACAAACTTCATTTCATTAAGCGGCCCCTATTGTAGCCAAAATATTTCACACATCTAACTTCAAAATATGTTTGTAACCAAATATATCTGAGAACAGTGAAAAATAAAATTTTGCTATGTTTCGCGGAATAGGTACAAGGCTAAGTAAGAGTAGTAAGGAAAACACAATTAATATAAAAGATAGTGAAATAAAACAACTAATATTTTGACATAATTAACGTAATATGTTCACATATAAAATGCCCGTGTAGAGAGAAAATAAGATTAAAAACTAAGAATAAAATTAAAAAATAAGACAAAAGACTAAAATAAAAGAAACACAATTAATTCAAAAAATACTGAAATGAAACGATTAATAATCTGAAATAATTAAAATTGTACATTCACACAAAAATAGCCCTTATAGATAGAAAATAAGACACAAGACTAAAATGAAGAATAAGATTAAGAGTAATATAAAAGAGTAAGATACAATTACACGTGAACTTACCAACTGTAGCCACACATTGGTCATGATCTGATTTTTTTTCATCTGAATAGAGAATATATATATATATATTAAGAAAAAGAAGAAGAAAAAAATTTTAAATTAAGGAATTTCAAACTTTATTTAAAAAGGACTTGTAGAGTCATTAGGATTTTTTGGAAGCTGAAGAGATGAAAAAATATGCAACCGCCTTCGCCGGGAAGCGGACCATCGGACTCTGGAATAGGCCTTCTACGTACCCACGAAGGCACGCTAGAGAAGTGGGAGAAATACCTTATAGACTTAAAAACAAAAGTAAAATCTTTCACAATCGCTGCTAAGATTAAAAAATTATCAATTTTAATAGCCAATGTATATACAATTAGATTACCACCTAGGAAATTAGAAGAAAATTCAGATCGTAAATAATTGTTGATTCCACAGAAAGACGCGGTTTTTCAAAGGGAATTGAAATCCCTCTATAAAATCGTTCGTAAAAATTCGTTTGGATCGCGTTTCATCTTTTACGCATTTCTGAACAAAACCACTGTTCCAAATTGTAAATTTTATAATCGCTATTATAAAATATCTAAATTTAACTCTTAAATTATTTCAAAAGTGCGAAAACAATTCCCCGACGCGATGAAAGACAATTTACAAGGTGTTTATAAATGAATGGTGTAGTTTTAAAAATTAATAACAAATCGATGGTAAAACTTACACCGAAAGCGTAGGAAACTGCCGAAGTTTCTCATATGCTACCTGCTGTTTGCTTGTCGTGCTTACTGCGCAGTCGCTGCGTCAGTTTCCAAGATGGCACTGCAACAGGAAAAGGCTTTCTGTGTGCTTTGTTTTGAGGTGTCCAGATTTTTGGTTTCAGTGCACTGTGAATTTTGTGTACGTTTTCTGTGCGGTGTTTCGCGAGAAAGCTCACGGACCTTTTTTCTTCAAACGAGAAATAGTAATCTGTCACTCATTTTTAGCCATGTTGGGAACCTGGTTGTTACTCTAGCTGAACACCAATTATGATGATTATATTTTGTAACCGGACGGTGCTCCGCCCATTTTCACTGGTATGTAGGAAAGCTTCTTAATCATGTTCTGCATTAACGCTGCATTGGCAAAATACAAAGCACTGGATAATAGTTCGGAATTTGACGATGGCGGCCCTAGAGGAGACATCACACTGAGGCCACGTAAACAACCAATCCGGAAGCCTGCTCTATCGCAAGCAACAACTACAACCTTTGATTCATCAAACGTGAATCCTATAGTTATGATGTCTACGCCAGCAGAAAATATGGATAGAACCCTCACAGACGCTGAACCAGCTCAACAGTCAACCAATCAGGACATAAACCTTCCCCAATTATGGTAAAGGACCACGGAAAACCTGGATGCAAATTCGTGAGTTCTTAACACAACCTGATTTCTCGCTACATGGCTGATTTGGACAGCAGATACAGAATGGAATTAAACTACGAGCCAAACTGTCGACCATTTATCGCCAAGTTGTAAAAAGACTTCGTGATGAAGGAATCCTGTTCCACAGTTATAAACTGCCTGAAAGCAAAAATATCAAAGCTGTTATACGCAGCTTGCCTGCATATATAAAAAACTGAGGATATTGCTGATCATTTAATTTTTAAAGGCTATTCCATCATCCGAATAAATCTATTACCAAGACGACGAAACGGTGAGATCATCATCCTCCCCATCTTTCTCGCCGCCCTAGCCCGTATTGAACGTAGCAAGGCCATTTACCATGAGCATTTTATACTCGACTTGAAACACCAAATCCAAAGCTACAGAGGACGTGTGGCACCCTTGTAGTGCTATCGCTGCCAAGGTTCCACCACTCACAAGAGACAGGAGACCACTGGGTGAGCAGCTGTGCCGCCATGAAGACTTTCAGCTTTATTGCTCACTCATGGACCACGTTTTAAAATTTATTACAATAATATTACAATAATATATTTTATATTACATAATTCATAAATAGTTCACTGTCATTATAGTGCACAGTTCATAAGTCTGTTAAAGTTTATTTATCTGTTGAATTTAATTAGTTGTAAGTTCTGATAAGCTTTGAGAATTTTATAGTTAGTGTGAAGTTTCATATTGTTGATTGAAGTTGGGCTGTCTGAAGTGATGCTAATTAAAAAAATCTGATGTGGAATTGTGATCCTTAATATGCTGTTTAGATTATCACATTTTCTATGAGATATTAATTAAATTTTAAGTTGCCGAAATTTACTTTTGAGTAGTTTTTTTGAACCACCTTGGGTATTTTTCCTTGTGAAAGGACGAAAGTGGAGGTCTTTAGTGATTGTACATTCAACAGGTAATGATCTATTGTTCCTGTTGATACACATATACATTGTCTGTATGTACAAGCCAAACGAAAAAGATATGAAATGAAGGGCCATGTGTCGGTTAGAGATATGTTATTGCATTTTTGTTGTAACTAATTTTCGTGTTGGTTTTTGTAGAACATAAAAGTTCGTCTGCCCGTATTATCTTGTGACCACATGAGTTTCCATTTAAAATCAAGTCTTGTTCAAGTCTTGATTTTAAAAGTGATATTGGATTTGGTAAATAGGTTATTGCTGTTATAGTACTATTTGCTGCTTCTTTTGCCAAGCTATCTGCCATTTCGTTGCCCAATGTTCCAACGTGGGCACGTGTCCAATGTAGTTTAGGTTTTTGTCCAGTTGGAAAATATGCGAGCAAATATTGTATATCTTGAACCAAAGGAGAGCGATTATGACCAGCTATTGCTTGAATACTTGATGCACTGTCAGAAATTATAACACTGGTTATTGAGAATTGCTTTGCATATGTTATTGCTTCTCTTATAGCCAATAGTTCTGCTTGAAATACGAATTTGTATGATTCAATTTTGTTTTCCAGGTTTGTATAGATTATTATTTCTGAAAACGCAATAAGCCTGCCTACGCCTAACTCTGTTTTTGATCCATCTGTAAAAATTTGAATTTGAAAATGATCTATATTTGAATTTACTATTAGATTTTCTGAATATAATTGATTTGGATGTAAGTTTACATTTTGTTTGAGTTCTTCATATTCTGTTGGATGATAGATATTAGAATTATATGTGCTTGTTTGTCGCAGGTGTGCAACTTTTGTTTTAACTGCTTCTTTCTGTAAAGTCAGAGTAATGGGTGGAATACCTGAAATTATTTGTAAAGAACTGGTAGGTGTTGTTCTATATGCTTTTGTTATTGATAGCAGAAAAAGCCGTTGTATTGAAGTTAGTTGTCTTTTTTCATGTTGATTTAGATCTGTGCCCCAAACAGAAGCGCCGTGTAGAAGAATCTTTTCTATTACTGTTGTATACCAAATTTTCTGATATTGAGAAGAAATTCCCCAGTTTCTTGCTGTGGTTATTTTTATTGAGTTTGATAATATTAGAAGTTTATTTTTTATATATTTGATATGTTGATGCCATGAAAGTCTATTATCAAGCATGATACCTAGGTATAGTAGTGAATTTACTGTTGCTATTTTATCTTGTGCTATTTGATATTGGGTTTCGAAGGTTCGTTATCTTGGTGCCCTGTTTTGGTATATAAGAGCTTTACTCTTGAGAATTGATATTTTTACTGAAATTTATTTGCCCATTGTTTAAAGATTTGTAGGGATTGTTGGAATTATCTTCTATATCTTTGCGACTATTGCCTTGGACTATTAGTAGGAAATCATCTGCATATGCTTGTTGTGCGTGTGAAGGATATTGTCAAAATTTTTCAATATTTCATTTGCTATTAAATTCCAAATAACTGGACTCAAACAAGATCCTTGTGGGCATCCTCTTGTAATTTTATATAATTTGACTCCACTGTTTGATGTATATTGTAGAGCTCTGTTATAGAAGTAATCGTTTAATAATAGGAATATTTTATTTGGACAATGGAAGAATTTAAGGATTTGTATTGCATCTGTCCAACGTATAAAGTCAAAAGCTGCTTGAATGTCTAATGATATTATTAAAGAATGTTTATTTTGATTTCTGTTTATTTGTAATATTTGATGTAATTTCTGGAAAGCATGGTCTACTGATTTATTAATAATGAAAACCAAACTGATATGGGTGAATGACTTGTTAATATGCAGGTGGTATTTGTAGTCTTTGATAGTATTTTTTCTAGAAGCTTTCCAAACCAGGTAACAGCATATTGGTCGATATGATAGAGGATTATCCTGAGGCTTGTTTTTCTTTAAGAGAGAACTACTTCGGCTTGTTTTAGTATAGTAGGAAAAGTGGCAGTTTTCCAACATGAACTAACAAAAGACTTTATGATATTTCTATTGGTTTTCAAAATTTGCTTTAAAATTATATTGTCTATGTCGTCAGGTCCATCCACCACTCACAGGCAAACTGCCACTATAGGCCCTGTTGTGTAAAGTGTGGACAAGCTGATGAATCCTTTAAATGCACGAAAGATAAAATTGCACCGCCGACATGTGTAAACTATGGAAAAGAAGAACACGCTACAAATTTTCGTGGGTGTGAAACGTTTCCAAGACACAAAACTGCCTCAACTTCCCCGCAGCAAAATTATCGACAGATTTATCAACAACAAATCGTATCACTATCCACAGGACTAGCCCCTGAGTCTGTCGACGAGGTGAAGAATATGATAAGTAACTTTCAAATTTTTTTTCAATCTGTTGAGAAATCTGAAATAATTATTAAGGAATCTGCTACTCAAGCATTTAAATCATGAACACGAAAAAAACACTTCCAGACTCCACTGCAGAAACAACCGTACATGGATAATATTTTAAAATCGTGCTGTCCTATACGTTTCTGTGTTCGCAATGCCAATGGGCTCCTTAGTAAAATTCATGAGCTACAAAATTTTATTCAAGAGCATAAAATTGGCATCGCAGCTGTGACGGAAAGCCATGCTCAGTTATGCCATAAATTAAAAATCCCCAACTATCGTCGATATAGATGTGATCGTACCAGCTGTAGAGGAGGAGGTGTTAGCATCTATGCCAAGAGAACTTTTAATTCCTGTCTCGTAAAGAAAAGTACG